TTTTGCAGCTATGCAATGCGGAAAACGCATACTGATGAGGGGTTGTCTGTGTGTCCGTGTGTCTGTCACGCACTTTCATCTCAAGACCCATAAAAGCTGCAAGGCTGAAATTTCGGAAACTTAATCTACATGCACGTGCCGGCCCCAATCCCCAAAATGGGCGCCGTCACCCGCATGGTACCGGCGTACGGGCCCGCTAAGTTTTCCCGGGGTAAGTTCATAACTCGGGGATCTGAGAAGCTAGAACGCTGAAATCTTAGGGGGATGTTCCCTGTCCAAGTGGGTATTAACGAGTTCAAACCCTGCTCGCGGGTAAGCGTGGTACCTACGTACGGGTCCGTGAAAGTTTCTCCCGCGTAAGTTGCTAACTCGAGAACGTGAGAAGCTAGAAGACTGGAATTTTGAGCGGATGTTTCCTGACAGTTCTGGCGGCCAATCTGAAAAATTCTTCTAGCTTAGAAGCATCTGCCAGAAAAACCAGTGCCGTTAGCGACAAAAATCTGCGGGGAGCTATGCAAAAAACGCATCTTCGCACGGGTAGCCCGTGCGCTGGCCAATTATTTTGCTTGCCAAGGACGAAGTTACGATCTGAAATGCAAAAGGCAGTAGTGTAATGGATAGCACGTCACGATTCGAATCGGAAATAGTGAAAATGAGGAATTCGTTTTTCTTTATAACTGATATTTTTTGCAAAAAACGGCTCCATCCTTGGAAGGAATTTTAAGTTTTTTGCCTATGCAGGCGTAAATGTCTAAAAAAAACTTCTGAAAAATTACCTACAGAGAGTGTTTTGTTCAAATCCCATGCACCCGGAACGTTTTCCGGGAAAAGTGCCGGTGAACTTCGATTAGCAATCTCTTCGGTGCACTCAAGATTCAGCTTCTTTGCCATTTCCATCATCAGTAGTTGTCGTTCTGGAACAAAATCACATGATTTGATTCATATCACTTCCTACACGGAAAAATAATTCATCGATTTTCTACGTATTCGCGCAGGCCCCCATTCAAACACTCATAAAAATTTCAACCCTCCGGACCGCCTAAATCAGGTAAACTTGGAATATAGTCGGAAAAAGGAGGAGATAAGGGATTGGACTAAGTGTCATGTGCAAGAAGATATTTCTGGATGCAGTCTCCCTGTTTCATCCCTTAGCTGTAAACACAGACAGAGCTTTGCATGCTGGTAGGAGTGGAAATCATCAGTACAGCTCACACGTATTGGCGCGAGCCTCACTCCCCTATTAAGTCCCAGCCACGTTATCGCGTTGGCCCCGCCCACGCGAGCAACAAAACTCCCGACCGGACGTGCCAAAATTGAAAATTAACCTGATTTTGGAACACTCATGACGTCAACAGTCGTGGAAAAATCAAGATTTCGTAGTGCAGCACAAAACCAATATATTTCACTATGTTCAAGACTCTCGTTCTCGAGCTATCAGTTTTCGCGCCAAAACATTCACGTGCTCGTACGCGGGGTCCAGACGTGTGTGAGAGTTGATACCGCGGCCCCGGAGCAGCACTTGGCTGGGCAACACACTGGCAAAATTTCAGCTTCAAAGCTTGCGTGGTTGGCGAGTTGAAATATCCGAGCACACACACACACGCACACACTCTTCTACAAACAAATACACATAGACTCTTACACACATACATACGTACATACACACATGCATACTTAAACATATGCAAACAATCACAGATATATACGTAGACACACGCACTCGCATGCGCAGACACATTCAAATTCTAACACGAAAGTTCAAGGGAGTTCCCCAAATCTTGCTATTATTTTAAGGCTTAGGAAACCGCTTTTTACGTGCATGGGACAAAAAAATAAAACATTTTTTTTGGCTTCCAAATGGGTTTTAAACAAGTATGGCAACATCTAAGAGCACTAAAGTGTTTTAAAAAAATCGGCATTTAAAAAAAAAACCGAAAATTCAAAAATTATTTATTAATTTAGCTGCAGTTTGGTTCATTTTCTAATACATTAATTAACCGCGGTTCATGAGTGATTTTTCAGCTGCGCAGATGGCGCAGCGTCGTCTGGAGGTTAGCTGCTGGCAATCTTGACGTTAGTTTCGTCCCTTCGAGGGTTGCCTGCCCAATGGTTTCCCCGACAGAAGCACTTAGCGATCCAATTTACAAACTTTTCTTTTTTAAATTTTTACTTTGCAGCATACAACTATCGGCTAAAAAACATACTGTTTGAGTTTAAACAGAGAATTGC